AATCCGGGATTTTGGGATTTTTTTGGGGTTTTTTTGAGATTTTTTGGGAATTTTTTGGGATTTTTTGAGTATTTTTGGGGGGATTTTTTGGGATTTTTTTGGGATTTTTTGGGATTTTTTTGGGATTTTTTGGGGATTTTTGGGGGATTTTTTGGGATTTTTTTGGGATTTTTTGGGGGATTTTTTTGGGCATTTTTTGAGATTTTTTGGGATTTTTTGGGGGTTTTTTGGGAATTTTTGGGGGGATTTTAGGGGATTTTTTGGGATTTTTTTGGGATTTTTTGGGGATTTTTCGGGTTTTTTTGGGGGATTTTTTGGTTTTTTTTCGGATTTTCTTGGAAATTTTGGGGAGATTTTTTTGGGGGGATTTTAGGGAATTTTTTGGGATTTTATTTTGGATTTTTTCAGGAATTTCTGGGATTTTTTGGGGGGGGATTTTTTGGGGCAATTCCTGAGGATTTTTTTGAGGACTTTTCAGGGATATTTTAGGTCTTTTGAATATTTTTCAGAAACTTCTCGGAGATTTTTTCCAGGGTTTTTTTTGGGAATTTTTAGGGGTTGGGGCAGGAATTTTACCCAGAAAAATCCCAATTTCAGAAAACTTTTAACGAATTTTTGGGGATTTTTGGAAAACTTTAACGAGGATTTTCTAAAAAACCCGATTTTGGGAGATTATTGGGAATTTTCAGGAATTTTGGGGCTTTTTGGGGGAGATTTCTAAGCTAAAAATCCAAATTTCGGGGATTTTGGGAGGGTTTGGGGAATTTTAGGGATTTTTGGGAGTGGGGGCTGATCCAAAATTTTCCTTTTTCCCCCCAAAATCCCCAATTTTCAACCCAAAATCCCAAATTTTCACCCCAAAAAATCCAAATTTCCCCCCCAAAATCCCCAATTTTCAACCCAAAATCCCAAATTTTCACCCCAAAAAATCCAAATTTCCCCCCCAAAATCCCCAATTTTCAACCCAAAATCCCCAATTTTCACCCAAAATCCCAAATTCTCACCCCAAAAAATCCAAATTTCCCCCCCAAAATCCCCAATTTTCAACCCAAAATCCCCAATTTTCACCCAAAATCCCAAATTCTCACCCCAAAAAATCCAAATTTCCCCCCCAAAATCCCCAATTTTCAACCCAAAATCCCCAATTTTCACCCAAAATCCCAAATTCTCACCCCAAAAAATCCAAATTTCCCCCCCAAAATCCCCAATTTTCAACCCAAAATCCCCAATTTTCACCCAAAATCCCAAATTCTCACCCCAAAAAATCCAAATTTCCCCCCCAAAATCCCCAATTTTCAACCCAAAATCCCCAATTTTCACCCAAAATCCC